CCAATATTTAAATCAAAGTTGTTTTCAATTATTTAAAATAGATGATCTCTCTAATGAGTTGATATAATTCTTACACGTGTGGAAATCAATACGGAAGTATCATTATTGAATTTTCAAGGTTTGACCACTTTAAGGTAAATAACAAATTGTACTTATGCTCTACAAAATATGCGATAAAACTATTCTGTAATAAGGATATCTCAATATTAATCATAATTGCTGATGCGATTGTAAATCAGTGAACTCTTAATATTTTAATTATGAATTTAAGTAAATGAAATCGATCAAATCGATATTAAATTTAATCAGTATTTTACGATTTACATGAATATGGATCTAGAGCAGAATCATATTTCTCTAAAACTAATATTTCCTTAGTACCTATAATAAGCAGGCTTTTTTATTAATAAAACCAAAGACGACAATAATAATAATCAATAATAATCATAATTTTATTGTCAAAACTGTGTACAAAAGGTGGTAACAATAATTTAGTGGCTTTACTACTATTGACTACTACTTACATGCTATTATGATAAACTAATGAAATGTAGTGTTTTTGTTGTGGGTTCAAGGAACTTTGGATATTTTCAGCATCGTCAGTTCTAAACGGGGAATCTTATATTTTTTAAGTGTGTAGAGCGAATAGTGGTGTTTTATAAGTATTGTGGGAATATGTGTATAATACTTTTACGTATTCTAATTCTACATCTAAAAAATATAACGCTTCATTGGATATGACAGTAACATATGAAAACGAGAGTAGCTGGTGTTGACGGATTTATTAATCTTTTCAACAATAATTTAGCTGCAAAAGCGTTACAAAGAAATGGATAGGCTGATATCTTTTCAGCAATTTGGGATTAAAAACTTGAAATAGGTAGACCGTTAAGTCACACTAAATAACTTAGTATTTGTTCTAATATTAGATATAGGCAGATGTATTAACGCAATGAAGCCTCTCAAGTGCCGCTAGACAGAGGTCAAAGAAAGAATCAATGGCATCGCGACAAATGACATCATCCAGTTACACCATATTTTATCCGGCTATTTGTGGTGTTAGGCATTATTTTTAATTGATTACTTGCAGATGTAACACTGGTAGAGGTGAATTATTATAATCTATGATGCTTTTCGTGTCTCTAATGTCCGTATTTCAAAACTAGTTTATTTCACCGTCATAGATTTTGTCTTGTGATTAATGTTGAATTTCAACCAATCAAAAAGTATCAATCTATGCTGGAAATTGGACTGTTTTTTTAAGACGCATCTTGATAATATCAGTGACTCTCATTAAACGTATTCCCTAAAAATATAACAATATACATTATTAGGGGCCAGTCTACGGGTAGTAGGCACGTAGGGATGATTTATTACTTGAAATTTAATCTTATAATTACTCTGAAACTTTTCGCGTGTGTTCGCAAACCGGTAGACATGTTTTCGTAGACGCTTTTCCTTGGTGTTGCGAAAAGTCCAAACTATAAATAATTGTGTTGACATGGATCTCAAATGATGCAACATTTGAACCGGTTAGCGAATACGCTTATCAACTAAACCTATTACGCTTTATTCCACTTAAACCAGATCTTAAGGTCGCTCTTGTCCAGTCAAGGACCCCGTCACATGTGTAATATGATGAGATGTTCTACATTTATTATGAGAATCGCGACATTTTTGTGTAATTTTCATCACAGCACAATATGTAGTGTGCGTTCAGTGTGCCTACCATGAGTTTACGTTAGGTGAGCTCGCTAGCGAATACGTCAAAAGATTCTATGAAGATTTTATTTCTTGAAAGTAGCCGCTAGGGGCGCTGCACAATATGTCATACATTTAAATGTCATTTTTTTACGCAGTCGCTAGCGAGCACACCTAACGTAAACTCATGGTAGGCACACTGTAAGTAAAAACATGTTATTTGCAATTAGTAGTAAGTTACACCAGCCAAAGTAAAAGCTACAGTCTGTGTGAGTTTTGGCATTTTTATAAAGATAAGAACATACTTACTGAAATAAATTATATTGAATTGTCTCAGTTAATTCGGAGGCACTGAAAAATACACAAGTAAATAATATATTTAGGATTGTAGAGCAATACAATTTAACTTTTATAGATTTTTACCTGATTTAAGCAACTTAAATTACATCAAAGATTAAGTACCCACTATGCAAAGGTCATGTCTAATTGATATTCATTACGTAACCTGGTAGTTAGGCCAAAGCACACATTAAATAACAAAATTCGCATGTTAATGTACTGAAGACAGCACGTCAAGCCAAACACTGTGATATCTTATTACTGGTAATAAGGTACTGTTTTGCCACAAAAAATATACTGTTGACTGTACAGACGAAGGCAATTCAAGAAGTTTCGAGAAATGGCCGCTGGCTGAGCTCTGCCCATGTCCGTTCCTTAGTGTAATTACCACGGCTCTCTAATTAAATGAACTCTACATTTTTAATTATCAAAACATTCAAAGTATTTTTCCATTTAATAATATTTTTTCTAGGTTAGGTTGTTACATTTGTACGTTAATCTAAACCGGGGGGAATTCCATTTTTGCAATTTAATCAGTTTAGCTTGTAACGGCAGGTAAGAGCAAATATTGAATTGATAAGTTGATAACTTAAAATCACTTGGAGTTGCGTAAAAAATCTCTATTAAAATAAATTTCCCGGTAATCAGGATTATAGTTACCTACATTAAAATTATACCGAGTTTTGGATCGAGATGGAAATTCTACAGAGTAGGTATAAAATAATTTTAACCAGACGGTAGGTACAGACTTTCATTGTACTACAACTTTTTTACTAGTTAGCTAGGTAGCAACAAATAGTAAATTGTATCTATACTTTGTTTTTATTAAATTACCTATTTTCTGCTTTCGGCGTTTTTATCGCTGTTTAAAAATAATGTTTGTCTATCGAATATTTGCTTCACAAAAACTGACGAATGACGAAGTTCTTTTTTGCTTATTGACGTAACTAGCGTAGTTATATTTTACTACGTATTTCTTACTATTTATTGGACTATTTATAGATAAACTGGTATTGTATTATAATACAGTTTCGAACTGGTTTTCAGCATGATCCGACTTTTATCAAATTCATCGCAGTTCCAAATTCTATTGACGTCACTGGTTATGTTTATGTGTATTTTAAGTAAATAACTTGAGGGCGTATGCAAAACAAAATACATGTAGAGGCGGCTGTTTGTCTACCTATTTCTTATTCAATGACAAACTTCTAGACAACGGCAAAGAGTAGGTAACATTATTAATAATGTCACAATAAAAAGATTTTTTCGGCTTAGCCCAAAGGTAACTGGCAGACCTTATGGTATTAAAGACTACGCCAGGAAATAATTCAAAGGAGGTTAGACACACGAAAAATACGACAGTGCAAGGAAAGCGTCCTGCCACATAAGTATTTCGGTAGAGTCAAAAAGTTCGTAACATAAATATTTGTTTCATGTCCGTCTTACATTATTCCATTAGTTTAAAAATCTTTATGCACAGTAGAGTGATATAAATAAACAAAGGCACATGCTGGCATGCGCATCGCGATCTGCGTGCAATAACAATGAACTACCTACTAGAGCACGCAAGACAAAAGATAACATGAAAGCTGATGGAAGTCTCCACTCACTTACACGAGTCACGCTCTGAATGATATCAAGCTTTTTTATCATAAATAATGTTTAATTTAAAACGCGTTTAAGGAAAAATCTGGATTATTTGCACCTGCTAGAGACATAGTTATATCATAAGTATAAAATCTACGGAACTGGTTGAAGCCTCAAGTTTAGCTGCTAAATTAAAACCAAGGTTCCGACTACAATTAAATAGGCTATTTTTGACAACTTTATAAACATTTATGTAAGTAAAACAAAGGTCAAGACTTGATCTCTTTGTATTTGTATGCTCTAACTGCAGCCTAGCAAGCAAAGAGCTTTGTGACTTGTAACATTAAACAAAAAAAAGTGTTTTTTCTTAATTTCATTTTCATCTTAGTTGCCGTCCTGTTTTTCCGCCAGAAGGAGGATTGTGTTTTTGAAAACTCTAGTTTGACTCTAGATAACGAAGCCATAAGTCAGTAGTAGTAGGTCCTACCAGGTGAATAATAATATGTATTTTGTAAAAGTCGTAAATAATCTACCCATATCCAACTCCTGGTAATTATTAAACATTCACTCGAAATGTCATGAAACTGGTCACTTTCTTGTAGCACTTAGGATTCAGTGAATTGTAGGCATTGTGTTCAATCTAAGACAAAGGTGATTGTGCGCATTCGCAGTACACAAGTCCTACACAAAATGGCGCGGGCCGGGCGCCCGGGCGCATCCGCAAACGTAAAAAGTTATTTATTATTAAGTTACAGCTTTCATGTAACATTTGTGACGTAATCATTTAAATCAACGACAGGCAGACTGTATACGGATGTTTCAAGGTAGGAAACTCCCAAATAGCGATATATTAATAGAATAAACAAACGGACTAATCCCACCTCTCGTTCCCACAACTCCTGTGTAGCCAGAATCTACAGCTTGACCGCCAATAAATTCCAACCAGTGTAGGTCAAGTTTGTCCCGGGAGAAAGTTAAACTGTCATTGTAATAGAATAAATATTCTTCCTTAAACGTTTTTAACACTACCCCAGTCATCCTAAACTCTAAAGAAATCTATGTTGAAACGAGCTTGCTCTGAAAATGCTATTCCACTGGCACTTTATAAGCCAAAGAGGACCTCCGACAATTTTCCTTTGGGCATTCCCATAAGCACAGAACTATAAGTAGGTATAATGTTAAAATTAAATAATATTAACAAAAATAAATAGTTAGGTCGTTCGTTAACGTTTACTCACAAAGGTCACGAGTTTTTTTCTTTGTTTTGTCTTGTCATTCCTGAAGGACAAACTATTTATTTTTATTTTGACATTTTCACCCGACTGACTATAAATATAAGCGCGGTAAAAAGCATTATAGCCTTTAGACTTCCAGTTTTCTTTTTACGGTCAAGTCTTCTTTCAATACATTTAAATTAAGAGTTAAATAAAGAAGATGGATCATATAAAAGTTGTGATATTAGGTGTGATACAATTGGTAGTTTTATATTTTTGTTTCGACAAAGGTGAAATACAGACTATTCATCTTCCGCTACATTATTAGTACCTGTGATGCCACAAAATAATCAAGAATACAGAGAATAATTTATAGATGAGAACAAATTGATGGATCAGCGTCGAAGGTAAGATTTCTACCAAAAGATCGATTCGGCTCACACCGTTTATAATAAAAAATGCTGTCCATTTAATTGACAGTATCTAATTAATTACTCGACAAAGTAAAAACATATTAAAAAAGTTCGAATCTTTCATGATTGATGATGATCGACAATTTGCTTTCCCAAAATAGGTGAATCGATTTTATTATTACCTCTATTTATTACTTATGGCAGGTAGGTCTAATTATCCCTCTTTCCAAAATAAACAACGGCTCTTCGTTTACTGTATACATAATCTGGGGCAGCTATTTTTATAGCATATGAGCAGTGTACTGCTCTTAAAAGAACGAGTTGAGTTTCAACGCACACTTTTCAGAGAACGTTATGTGCAGTCACTCCTTAACCTTCAATATTTCTATTTGCAGAAATAAAGAAAACGAAGAAAAGAAATTCGTACGTGACAGAGAGTCGTCAAAAATATCTAATCGTGGATTGTTCCCGTCACATTGTAGGTACATAAAAATATCTTATCAGAATGTAATAAAAATAAATGGATAAATAACCATTGTCTTTATCGGTTTTCATAACAACCTGTGTCTTAATCGATAATGCAGCTTTTTGTCGCAATCCTTATCGATTCTTCATCTCATCTTTATAGTTATAACAAACATAAGTATTGACGTCATGACGGATTACAATATCTACAAAAATGCTTGACAACGCAAAGCTTTGTGGTTATAAACATACATATTTTTTAGATACAATGAAGTTCGTAGATACCTGAATTCTTATTTCGGTTCTTACAACAGATACCTAAAAAATGTAAACTTAACATTAACTGGAGTTGTTATGTAGGGGATGAAAAGGATATGTAAATTTATTTTTCTTTGGTATATAAAATGTAGTGTTTCAAAGTAGTTAAANAGTTAAAATGTGATAAAGACTTTATGAGCCAGGCTGAAACTCACGTGAGCGAAATTCAAGAAAAACGAGCATCTTTTTACACCGTTTAAAAGATGCAATAGTTTTTAGTGCATCAGGTTCTGGAAAAACTGTTTTCATTTAGTTTTCTATTCATTTTTTTCACTGTATATTATAACGAACGAGTCATAATATAATACAACAACCAGTAGAACATTTGCATGATACAATGTACGTTACTTAGTTGGTTCTCCTGTCAAGTTTACGGCTACACGTGCCAATACAGTGTTATTACTTGCTCGTGATTTTGTTATTGTAATTGCACAAACAATACCTTTTGCCTAATACATAGACATTTTGTTATTTGTAAATAATGACGGTAAAAATCATTTTAATATTCATACAAAGATTAATCAACAAAAACACTTCCTTCTAGCACTGAAAACCGACTGTACAATTTTTAGTAGGTTTTTAATCAGCTAGGGACTGGAATTCGCAGCCTGCTGCTGTATTTCCTGAACACTATAAGGCTAGAGTGAATAGGCACTTACAGGGCAGATATGTATGTACCATCATAGACTGCATCTCATTTAACACCAGGTGCGATTGCGGTCAAATACCTGCCTTGTCTAGCATAAAAAAAACATCAGTCAAAGTTCGCGAACTGGTAACGTCATACCATAAAAACTATGAGAGTTGCGTTTTGACAGGTCTTAAAAAGTATGTTGATTAATTATATTATTAGGGGTATCAACTGGCCTAACTCACTTAGCATTTAATTATGTTATTATATTAAGTTAGGTTTCCGCCTCCGTGTTAAAAAGGCACTCTCATTACCCCAGCCAGGACAAACTTGCATTCACTGGTTGGGTTTTTATTGGCGGCCAAGCTGTAAACCTGGCTACACAGGAGTTGCAGCGGTGGGAACGAGAGGTGTAAATAGTCCGTTCGGGTTTATTCAAGTGCTTCAACAATAAATATTCTGGCTGAATTGAGAGCCCTATTAGATTTACTGACTCTACATTTTAAGACTAAAGAAAAGATAGATGGACACTGTTATGACATCTAAAGAGTGACTTAAGAATACGTTTACCGATTCGCTAATTCATTACAAACGTAAACAGATAGTGTAGGTCGTTGTCCGTGAAACACATTTGAGTTACGCAACATACGAGCGCGACTTTGTCCATCCGGAATTTGTATGTCTGATGTTGATGATAACGATTATTATTATTTATTATAAGATACAATAACAATAAATAGACCTTGTATTGTCGTTATAATTGGTGATAAATTTTTAGAGTTTTTTACTAAATTATTGTGCCAGAAATAAAAATATAATACGATTAAATAAAATGTACCTAAAAATAAAGTTGAGACAGAAGGTAATTGTCTGCCTTGCTGTTGCAAGTTTATGGACAAGTTGTACTAGCCAAATTAAAAGATTTAAATCACTTCATTCACTTACTGGTGTTTATTTTATTAAATTATTGAAACCAGAAGTTAAAACATCAAACGATCAAATAAAAAGTAAAAATAAAATTAAGACCAGTAAACAAAGAATATTGTCTGCTCGCTGTTGCAAGTTTAAGGACTAATTGCACTAGACAAATTAGTGTTAAATTACTTTATTGAAGTCAATATAATTGATATGGCCATGGCCCTTCAAGTCTTCCGTGCAAGATAAGTAAACACCTACAAGACCAATTAAATTAATATTCCGCACAGAATGCAACCAAGAACATAATAAAATTTTAGATAAAATTCTTTATGCAGCAATAAATAACGCTCAAATCTTATGCGATGCAGCTCTATTTTGGGCTAATGATTCATCTATTGTAAGTATTTCTTGACAGTACGGCGTAAGGGATTCATAATTATGTAGCTTATAATTTAAGTATCTCCGTAATCTACAATAGTAAAGTGGTTAGATACTCATATCGAACCGCATTTTGTTATCCCATTTTAAATTTCTAACAACTTTATGTACTTATTTACCTAATAATTTATTTTATTTATGAGTAGATAAATGGGTAAAAATCCCCCTACAAAATGACACATAGAGTAATCTACATTCTAAGACGCATTCCTAAGTTTTCTATTATCATACAAATGACGCCACGAGGACAGAGTAGGTATTATTAGTTACTACGAGTAGTATTATTTGCACTCATGTAACAGGGTATTATATTACGCGTAATCTAAGTTATGTGTCAGTACGATATGTCTCTACACCAAAAATATCGTAAGCCGTAGTATGGCATTAGTCGCATGTCAGGAAAATAATTGTTCAATACTTCATTGAAAACTTCGATTGATCGATCGGTTATATTTCATCGAACAAAATGAAAATGAATAGACAACGCGTCCTGCACTGTCATTTTAAATCAATTTCACTATTCATTTTCAATCAATATCAAACCAATAGTCCTGTTCTGAGGACAGCTTAATTGTCAGCTTTGACCATTGTCGGTAAATTAGTATGAAACAACCTACTCAAGTCTAGCTAGCTCAAGCACTACTAAGAAATGTAGAGATAAATAAGTTGAAGTTGGATGATGAAACATATGATTAACAAATCATTTGATTGCTATTCTATGTAGTTAGCGATATATCAGTTGCGACACCAGTGATCCCAAGTTCTCATCAATGACTCAGCTCTTGGCATGGTCAGAATATAAAATGGCTTCGTAAATGATAGTTCTTGAATGTAATTAATATTAGCTCTTAATTATATGTATTGACTCCAGAATATATGGATGACATCTAGAACATAGAGACAGTTTATGTTCTTATCTCTAGACTTTTAAGTTTACAATTACTCTACATCTGCAACCAACAAAAATGATAAGACTTACTTGCCAACACGATCTAGGTACGATTTCATGAGTTATTGTTTAAAAGTGTTCCTTATTTTGTTAACACAGCATTGAATTCCTTAAAATCACAATGTTTTATTTTTATTTCGTTCATTTTGGCTAAAAGAAAACACGATTGCGGATTGCTATTAATTAAAAACGGGCCAAGACTATAACGTCTGTGATATAATTTGGTATTCTTATTGTTAACGTCATAAAGTTTAGTTTGGCTTGTGGATGCAGTGAGGCTGGCTTACTCAATGTGTTGCCCAAGCGCTGGTCAATTATAATTATGTAACCGCACAGATCTGTGTGTAACCGCTTCGTTCATAAATCCGTACTACGTCGCTCGTCGTTCGCCTGAGGACGTAAGAATTCACGGTTAAACGTGTTAGGTAAACAAAAATGACGAGATTAGCCACTAGGAACACTTCCGTCATTTTTAATTCGATTGAGAAAATTGTGCGGCTGACCGAGGCTATGCTAAAATTGTGCAACATACTCGTAACTTGTATTTTATTGTATCATTCCATTGGCCATCTGTGTCAGACCAATAAATTGCATGTTAATAGAGTTAGTTTTACTCCGATAAAAAAAGTTTAATGTAATTTAAGTGAACTTCTTGTTAGCTCTTTTACACCATGATAATAAGGCTAAGTTGCACCACCAAACTTTGGCCGTAACTATAACGATAACCGGCGTATTTTGTATGGAGTTTGACAGATTTTTGACGTTTGTAACAGTCAAAGTATGATGGTGCAACCCAGCCTTATATTATTCCATTGTCAAAATAACTAAGTTCAGTCAACTGCTTAAAAAGGTTCCATCAGCTTAAATTTTTGTGAACTCCTTGCTACAATTCCAGTTGTAATTTTAACCTATTAACATAACTTTTATTACCTACTTGATTTCAAGCTTAAGATAAGTATGTCTGAAATTACTTACAATACTATCTAATGCAGAGAAATCTAATACCAAATTATCGCTTTGCGGCTACTCGATTGAACTTTCACAGCTATAAACAGAGCCTGTGCAAGTGTTCTTAAGAATTGGTACATTTTATGTAAGTAATATGTAAGAATAAAAAAATAATTTACTAATAACCTACAAAATATTTTATTAATAGTCGGAAAATATAGAGTTTTGAGAAAACCATTAATCCTGGTTATTGCTTACCTACGTGACTAAAGCTTATAGTGTATAATACCATATCTTATATCAAATACGGATCTACTTAATTAGTTTGTTCCGTATTAATTAATCTACAAATCACTGTCTACCTAATGTGTCGTATAAATGTTGTTAAAGATAGCATGTAATTATAATTAGTCTGGAGTATACGAGACACATTGAACTTACTCGTAATTATTTCATCATCGGCAAATCCCCAGAGAAATTTGGCCTACAAATGTTATCAAATGACAGTGGTCGACAACATTCACTGCTGAAAAATACAGCTAGTATTTCTTTAATATAATTTTAAAAATAGCTAAAATTAAAAACCTGTTAACAAAATGTTGAGAACGTAAATATTTCAAGAAAGTGAAACTTGGAGGACTGTCCTAAACGTGCAATATTAGATGTACAAGTAATTATTTATTTTATTCTTTATAGTTTTATTGTAAATTAAATAACAAGAAAATCCAACAAAAAACGGGTTTAATGTTATCTGAGTCGCAATTTTCGTGAGGCTCGTTCCTGACAGTTACTTTACTTATTTAATTTTTTACGCCTTGACATAGCTGTGAATGTAATCTTTTGAAAACCAAAGGTTAGCGAGTTCTGC